TCTTGCTAAATAATCACACTCCTCATATAACGAAAATATTGCAACTGTAGTTCGTGGTTTTGTCTTTCCTGCTCCCTCCGCCTTTCTGCGAATTTAAAAGACAAAACAATTGTTTTAGACAAAAACAACCTTATTCCTTTATTAATAAGGTAGAGTACAAAATTAATATGTCTAAATGGAACAGAATTGTATTTAAAAGGAACAGAATATTATAAAGGAACAAAATATTAATTAGATATAAGTAGGTAAATAATATTAATTTTGTCTTCATCGTCATCAGACCGTTTCCGTGTATGTGTGTATGTACATAGGCTTCTTCAATTACGCTCCACTGAGCTCATCTTCAGGCTTTCGTGACTCAACCACTTCTAACCATCTACTGCCTGTTGGTTCGGAAACATGTACTTTAAACTTTAGCAAACTTATGTTCTAGAAATATTTTTGATGTTGTTAAACAATGAATTTTACCAACGATTTCTTCGAACTTTGTTTTATATACTACTTATTAAGTATGGGAGAGCCATGCTTGGGCACGAATGGGCCGATCGGAGTGATGCCACGGCCTCACAGAAAATCAACGTCAAACAATGCTTGCATTGTGTTTCGCCATGTGACTGAGGGTATTAAAGCACAACTATCCCAATCTCCCCAAAAAGCCGCTAACGCACTCGTAACGCCTCTGGTGTTCCAGGTGTCCATGGGCGACGCCAATCACTTACCATCAGGTGATCCGTCTGCTTGTTTATCGTTTTCTCCCATAAAAAATATTTACTTCAGCGTGTATTTCGATTAACTCATAACATAATAGGTGAAAAGTAGGTGTTATCCTTACTATTATAAATGGGAAAGTGAGTTTGTTTGTTGGTTAGTTTGTTCCACTTTCACGCCGTAACTTCTAAACCGATTACTTTGAATTTTTGCAAGCGTAAAGTTAGAAGTCCGGAATAAATAAAAATAATAGGGTACTTTTTATCCCTGAAAATTTTGATATGAGGGAAAACAAAAGAATTGGTATAGATGGCGCTGTGTATTGGTATATGTTACATAGGCTACTTTTATCGTTTTGAGAAGCGAGCGAAGCCGCAGGTAAAAGCTAGTACTAAATATGTGTGTCTGGTTTTGCTACCCCTTAAAAACTTTTAAAATGCTGCCATGTCTTGTTACATTTATTTATATCTGTTGTGTAGGTACTTTGTGGTTGATTCAGCCTCATCCTTGCGTCGTAGGTCATAATATGGTCTAGTTGATGTATGAATTTTCTGACGTCGAACATCTGAGTGCGATGGGTTGCGCGTGGCAACTTGTTTTACTGTTGTTACTAGCAAATAAGGCGACCCTGTAGAAGATACGTTGTCGTTATTATAGTGATAAATGCAGAACAACAAATAAGGTCCAATTTTGTGATTACGGGGGTTCCTTGAATTTATTTTATAAACAGTTTTGATGGTAGAATAGTCAGCCAAATCATTGGGCTACCAAACAGGACGCCTCGAATCTATTTTAATTTTTTGTATAATAATCAAATTACTGATAAACAAAGACTAAAATGCACTGAATACTTACAAAGTGCTTGTAGAACTATCACGTTTATAATATTTTTTGCCAACATACTCATCCCAACGTATATTTTGGTATTGTCAGTAGTATTAGTTTTCTTTTTTATATTCTACATAATAAAATACATGCAATATTATAAAATGGTTTCAAAATTGTTGATCGCTTATTTCAAATAAAATTCATTGAACATTTTTATCGAAACCAAGAGTTAAAATGAACGTAACATTAATTAAAATGTTAATATACCTACATGTGATTTCAATTTGAAATTATGTTTTTATGGCTGTGTGTGTTATAGGTAGTGGAGATGACGTGCTTCGTCAAACGAATGGGTCAACTCAACCGGAGTCAAAGGACGGAGAAAATCAGTGTTGTTTCCCGTGTAAGTGGCGTTGTTGGAGCTCAACAACCCTATTTTTTACCTTAGGAAATATACTTCATGTATCGTCCTCTCGTCGGCGGACGAGAGGGATGTGTGAGACTCTCTGGGAGCAACCTGTTCACCCACTAAAACCCAGGAACACACCAGCGTCGCCATGTGAGGGGGTCTGGGAAACCGGATGAACCTTTACGACCAGGAACCCCCTCGGCGAGCTCAACAGCCTTACCTCAACTACAAACGGCTTAGAATGCACTTGTAAATTCGTTGGAAAAAAATGTACTCAACCTGGAAATGGAAATAAATTAACTCATAGTGTATGTCGGAATGCAGATACACGCGAGACACAATATGTTTTTTATTGTGTTTCAAATGTATATGTATTGGCATGTAAGAGGTTAAACCTCTTAATCCAACAAATCAAACTCTCTCTAAGATCTGGTATAGTTTAATGCCATCCAAACACGAGGAAAGGTATTGCAGACGTATCGTGTAGCACAATGATAATGTGAATAAGTACAGTCGGCGAGACCAATAGGGCAGATGTCTAATTTTTATTTTAATGTCCGTCTGGTAGATTATTTTAAATCATTAGACACGTATGTTTTACAGAAACAAATACTTTCGACGATATATTGATTTGAAATGTCGCGTGACGTCACTTCTATGAACATTTTATACGTAGAAATGACGTTTTAGCCCCCACTCCTAAACATTGATTCGTTTTATCTAAGTATTGTTTTATTATACGACAAAATAATAAAATACGTGCCTATTATTTTTTCATTACCAAGCTTACGGACTAATTATATTTTTAATTTTCATACCCTGTCATCATCCCTATTACTATACAGGGCACACATCGACACAACTGTCATGTACAGCGTGAAGGTCATCGCACATCTCTACAACGGCCACAACTCAGCAATTTCATTGTCATTTAAATATGAACTCCAAATCGAATGTCCCATGACATATTTCATAACGTCAATATAAACAAGTCAAAATTAAAAAGCAAAGAATAACTATTATTAGTACTGATAGGTTAGAAGTCGGCGCCTAAAAATTATTCAATAAAACCTTAATAGATATCTAATTTACAATTTTATGGCTAGTTATATCATTATGATATGAGCTTATGGAACCGACTTCTAACCTATCAGTGGGTAACCTATAAGCACTGATAATAGTTATTTTTTGCTTTTTAGTTCTTATTTTTTGTTTGTCATTAGTTTTTGGTTTTTCGAAGTCTGTTTTTAAACGCAGTTTGTATTTATCATTTTCAGTGTAAATCTTCATAGATTCGTTTTGTCACTTATAATCTACATAGGTGCAAAGTTCTAATCAATACAAATTATACAAGCCCAAACATAAGGTAGTTCTTTACAGTAAACCGGTGAAGAGTTCCTTCAACAATTACACTTCTTCATCATCAGACCCTTAATGACAGTGCCACTCTATCTAGGAGTAAAGTCCTCGTCAATACTAATTAATCAAGCCCAAACACACGGTAGTTAATATAAACCGTTGAGGAGGTCTCTCGACTGTCTGTCAGCTCCATCATCAGGAGGACTCCAAACCCTTATCAAATTGTAGTGTTTAAAAATCCTAATTGAAAAACATAATGGACACATTACTCGCCCCTACAATTTTCGAAAGTTCCCCTCGGTGTCTCGTTTCACGGTAAAAATACATCCTTTTTTTGTATTGTGTTTAAAGAAAAAAACGCCTTGCCAGAGCCATGCTTATTAGGTGTACGTTGGCCTTTATCTAATATGCATGGGTAGGCGATTTCATTTTGACGTTCACAAACCATGTTTCCTCGTAGAATTCGGTTTTTAAAATGCTGAAATTAGTAAAAAGGCAATAAAAAGGACAAGAGTCTTCAATACTGGTACACTGGACATAGGACTATTATGAGGTTATGCGTGAGGCACAAAGGTCTTGACGTCTGTTTCCATTAGTTGGTTGGACGACCTTTGGTGATTTTTCTTTGATTTTATGATTTCATAATAATAGCATGGAGTAATTTTATTTGCCTTGTGTATGTTAGTAGCCAGACCCTCTATTACATGAAACTTTTAAGTGGAACATGAGATCTCTAAGTGTGGTTAAGCCATACTTCGGCACGGATGCGCCGGCTCGACCGGAGCGATATCACAACCTCGCAGAAATCCGACATAAAACAACGATTGCGTTATGCTTCGCCGTGTGAGTGAGGTCGCCGCAGCCCCAATTACTCTCCTCCGCAATTTCCCCAATCATTGAATCCTCAACAATGCCCAAATTCCTAATCCCCATAAGGCCATTAAGGCACTTGTAATGCGTCTGGTGTTTCGGATGTCGTCACCCATGGGTGACGTTTGACTGCTCATTTACAAGCTTATTCCATAAAAAAACATAGCAGTTGTAACATAACTGTAGAAAAGTGAGTATTACATGATATTTTTATGAATGTATATCCGACTCTAATGTAATGCGTTGGAAATAATAATATATTAATAGGACTATAATAATTATCCACGATACAGCCTCGTTCCAGCTTTCACCCTTTTTAGTTTCATTTTTATATTATTTTTACGTACTACGTCTTTTAAGGTTTAAATATCTCTAATTTTAAGATTCATAAATAACGAAAATATCGGCGAACAAACAAAAAAAGCATATATACGGTCGAATTGCGAGCCTCCACCATTTTTTGAAGCCGCTTAAAAATACCCTTCAATGTTTAAAATCAGTCTAGGGGATAATAATGGATTATTGCATTCATAACGCGAATATGGGGCTCAATAGGGCTGATGCCGATTCGGAGTCGCGGGGAAACTAACGGGTTAAGTACCGGGGCAGGAACGGGGTGGTTTTTATTCAGTAAGAGTTTGACACTCCCTCCTCGCCTAACCCAGGCGGGAGCAGTCATTCGATGATTTTCTCCCTTCAATAAAACCGCGAATATGCTATAATGCTTTTATGTTAAATAAACAAAAAAAAAAACTAATTATTCCTCCAATGAAGTGTTACAGTCGAATGTTGCGAGGCAAATCACGTGTAAACAAATCTCGCTTAACAACCTCTGCGGTAACATTCAACATATTGATCAATATTTTGTACAGCATGCATCAAACAATGCCTTGTAGATATTGTGAGGATTTCACTGTTCCCTTTCTTGGATGTAACGTGGCATTTCATGCAGTTTGAATGTATGTCTGTCTACCACATAATCATTTGAAAGGAATGTGTCCCCTGAATATATGAATTCTGAAAAACAAGAAAATTAAACTAAATTACTAAAATTAATTAACTAAATTAAATGAAACTACCCAATTGGGTAGTTTCCAGGGTACCAAAATTAAACGTCTAATTAGTCCGTCAGTTAGATAATGAAAAAATATTAGACACGTATTTTTATTTTCTCGTATTAAGTTGCAATACTTAGATAAAATCGCGTTACGTTTAAGAGTGGGAGGTCGTTACGTCATAAAGTGCTACAAAATGTGGCACGTTATGACGTCACACGATATTTCAAATTAACATATCGTCGAAAGTATTTAATTTTGTGAGAAAAGAAAAAATACGTGTCAAAAGTTGTAAACGTATGTACCAGACGAACATTAAAATAAAAATTAGGCATCTACCCCTATTATAGATACCTACCGTAGATATTTCTAGTATAGAGATAGGTAACTTAATTAGGCCAATACACAGGCTGATAATTATAAATATTCGTAAACTTGATCAAGTTCCTCGTGATAAAGTTAATATACACGGAGAAAAGAATGAACAAACAAAAACAAAGGATGAAAGGGCAAACATATATGTATGTATGTATGTATAGTTTATTGTGCTCGTGTGTAGGTATATATATTATAATGATGTTTCTTTATGTTTATCACTAAATATGTAAGTGTATCTATTTTAATTGCTCAATTAATTCGTTGTTTGCTTCTGGCTCACACCATTAACTCTTCTCTGCATCACCCAAAGGTCAGACTGGGAGAAAATGCCCGCGGCATTAAGTCCACCTTATCTACATTTTGTGCATGAAGCTTAAATAAATAAATAAATATATGGAAAATATAACTACCGACCAATAACAATACAACCACACGTATGTCACTAGAAATCTCTTTCCATGACTTTTATTTGTTATTATGGGGGCTAGTCTCAGTGCGTTGTGGGTAATAATATGTTATAATTACTTCAGGGCCGATTTTGTAAAGCTCAGAATAGAATATAACTTTATTGTACACCATTAATAATACAGTACATACAGCAAGGAAATGACAAATATAAATAAAAAATAATAATGGGCACAAAGGCGGTCTTATCACTTATAGTGATTTCTACCAGACAACCTTTGGGTGGATATAACGCAAAAGAAATATTTAGACGGGTTGTGTACTAAGAAAATAAATAAATAACGTACTAATAATACATACATACATTTATGTACATATACATACATATATACATGCATACATATATACATACATACATATATACGTTCCTCAGTTAAATTGTAACTGAGGAAAAACTTTCAATATTTGACAATTCTTCCATAATAAAAACTGTCAAGTGTCAATTTTATTCTACCTCTACAGTTAAGCATTAACTGATGAAATGTATATGTAATGTAATGACTGCCTCGTTGGCCGAGTGGTCGCAATTGCGATTGCCGGGCAAGGGGTTTCGGGTTCGATTCCCGGGTCGGGCAAAGTATTACTGGATTTTTAAAAATTCTCAGTAGTGTAGCACGGAGTCTGGAACTGTGCCCGGTATATGGCAATAGGCTCACCCCCTATTACATGGGACTCATAACATAAATAGTGAAAAGTGGGTGTAACATTGAACAAACAGAGTTTTGAATTTTATTATAATGTAGTGAAGGTATAAGAGTGATATCAACAGAGAGTGCATCTAAACAAGAAAAAGTACAAATAAACATGTTGTGTATCTGTGGTATAATCTCTGGTCATAGTATAGTCTATGGTGAGATATTATCTATGTGCGTGGCGGAGCCCGCGAATTTGTAAAACAATTGAAGACGTAATAAATGTGTGTGTCGATAGCCTTCTCTCTTTTTACTTATATTTCGTTTGCTTAACAAAACGAGAGGACATCAGGGTCTGTAAATGCGCAAATCGGTGTCTCCAGAGCGACGAATTGACGTGATTTTTAGGTGGAGATAGTGCAGGGATGGATTGACATAAAGTACATTATAAAACATCACGTTACAATTAATAGGAGTCGAGAAACGAGTGAAACCTGGAGGAGGTTTAGCTAATACCCTAAAACGCATGCAAATAACCTATTACATTTATTTTTATGGAATATGAGACAAACGAGCAGGCTGATCACCTAATGGTAAGCAGTCAGCACCGCCCAATGACAACCGCAACACAAGAGGAGACACAGGCGCGTTGCCGGCCTTTTAAAGAGGGAATACACTCTTTTCTTAGTTTGAAGGTCGTATCGGTTCGGAAATACCGCCGACGACAGATCATTCCATAGTTTTGCTGTGCGAGGTAGAAATCTACGAGAGAAGTGCACAGGTGTGGAGTGCCAACTATCTGTATCATGGGGATGGATATGCTGTCGTGAAGGTCGAAGGAAGACGCGGCAGGTATCAAACCAAACAATTCCCCAGAGCACTCCCTGTGATATAAGCAATAGAAGATTTTTCAACGCTTGACGATGACGTTCGAGTGAAATATAGCTCTAAATGAATGTTAAGTATTGTAGAGGTATAGGGCATTTATTATACTCACCAGCTGGTGATGCCTCTTCTAATGTGTAACATTTACCCATATGTAATATTTGCCAAACTGTAAAATAAATAAATAAAATAATGTTTGTATAATAGGCGTGTCGACAGGGTAAAAAAATCAAAAAAGTAATTAGTCCGTCATTAAGATCGCACGAAAATATCAGACACGTATTTTTTGTTTTATCAAATTAACAGAAGAATACGTAGTTATTCCGCATTAAAGTTAGGGAGTGGGGGGTGTTGACGTCACACTTACGGAGAAATCGTACCTAATTGTGACGTCACGCGTCATTTTAACTCAAAATATCTACATGTTTTTTTGGATACGAGATAAAAGAAAAAATACGTATCGAAGATTTTTAAAATATCTAAAAGACGAACAAAAAATTAAAAAATATTCGCCATGCCTATTGACAGGCACGATACCACGGCCTCACAGAAGGCCAACGTGAAACAACACTTGCGTTGTGTTTCGTCGAATAAGTGAGGTTACCGGAGGTCGAAATCTTTCCAACCCCAAATCCACACCATTTCTCTAATTCCTAAATCCCAAAAAGCTGGTAACGAACTTGTAACACCTGTGGTGTTTCGGATGTGCATGGGCGGCGCCGATTGCTTACCCTCAGGTGATCCGTCGGCTCGTTTACCGGCTAATAGCATAAAAAAATCGAACCACAGAGGGGTTCTTCCTCATGAGCAGCGTGCGCGGTCGCGGCGACGTCGAGCAGCTCACTGTGCTCACTGTGTTCGAAACTAGTAGAGCTTTTCTCAGTATATTCAGTAACCCGCGTTTTTACTTAATTTAGTATGTCTCACGATAGTTATTATAAAAAAATATTAGTTGCAGATTTTTATAATCTAAGAATGGGACCAATCAGGGTTAAATTAAGTATACGGTTTACTCGTTGCTCTATTCTAGAACAATTGAACTAGTTTCTAGTTATATTGGGACGCATATTCAGGAAAAGCGTACGCGCGGCACTGTGTGGTAATGTTGCGTTATGTAGGCGCAACCAAGCCGTGTATTTCAATTTCTTTAATTTTTGTCTCATAAAAAAGAAAAATACAAATAGGTACTTACTTTCATGTCCTTCCCTGCAGTTGACGAAATCTAACATGCAGTAGTTTTTAAATGTTTGATATTCATAATATAAAGTCCTCGCACATATAGCTGAAGTTCTTAAATGAAATTATTGAAATTAGAGACAGACAGGATCATTTCTTATGTTAAGGATTTGTTCTATTATCTCATGGGCTGTTTAAGATGGTATCCTTGCTCTTTATCGTTAGTGCGTTCACAATTACACAAAGTAGTGACAAGATCTGAGAAGACGCTGAGAGTCGTCCTAAGGGGAAAGAGGTCTCGGATTCAACTGCTCAGTTTTTTTTTAAGAAAACGTTGCCCCATTCTACGATTTTTTACTGTGTCGTGAGTGCGTTTACAAACATACAAGTTCACATACACATGATACACAGATCCGGGACAACAATCTGTGGATCACATAAAGAGTTGTTCCATGCGGGAATCTAACCCGCGACACGTTGTGCGGCAACGAGTTGCCCAGTGACCGCGCCAACCGAGCAGTCAAGTTAGAAAACATGTAATTAAAAAATGGTGAGGTATATAATGATTACATATTACGGCCCTTGTCAAGCCACGTCGTGACTGTAGGGTGGAATATATACAAATAGAGTAATAACACTCAGCTGCACCTATCGCGTGCGTTGTTAGAGCTGACCGAGAACAGTGACCAGGCAACAGCGCTATCTAACGTGAACCTGGACATTTTAAGGTGCGATCTCCATATGCGTAGAATTATTTCAACATTTTCACGACTGCTTCATTGGCCGAGTGGTCGCAAGTGCGACTCCCGGGTCGCGCTAAGTATTACTGGGTCTTTTTAAAAAAAAAGCTCAGTAGTAGCACGGAGACTGGAATTGTGCCCGGTACATGGCAATAGGCTCACTCCCTATTACATGGGACTCATAACATAAATAGTGAAAAGTGGGTGTTACATTATACAGTGGCATTAAGTGCCGTAATGTGCAACTCTGCGTACCCATCCCTTCGAGAATAAAAGGCGTGATGTAATGTAATGAATGTTATTTTCACGAGTTTAAGTCGTCGCTCGTCGATAAGAGACGAAAATTATATAAGTAGGTACTTAATATTCGACAAAAAATAAAATACGCTTTCAAATCAAAATTCCACTTACGCATATGTCTTGTGACAATATTTTATTATGAAATCACATTGATCAGGGAGTGTATCTCGGAATGGCGCCGTGCGTCCATTGAATTTTTTTGTCTTCGCCGGCCACGTGTAGCTGTTAAAAATATTCAATATTTAAAAATACTTTTAAGAAGATTCATTCCGTAATATCAACCCTTGCCAGCTATTTTGCTTGTCGCGCCATGCAACTCATGACTATGTACCCCAAACGTAGTTTTAAACTCCTTGACTTTTACCCAACTATGTTACCATTATAAGTTAGTCAATTTAAGATCGGGAGCCCGCTCGACCGGAGTGATACAATAGGGTAGATATTACTAATTTTTATTTTAATGTTCGTTTGATAGATTATTTTAAAACATTAGACACGTATTTTTTATATTTTTACAGAAATGAATACTTTCGACGATATATTGATTTTAAATGTCGCGTGACGTCACTTCTATGTACATTTTATACGTAGAACTGACGTTTTAGCCCCCACTCCTAATTTTTGATTTGTTTTATCTACGTATCATATTATTATACCTATAACAAAATAAAAAAATAATATTTTTTTCTACGTGTCTAATATTTTTGAATTACCTAACTGACGAACTAATTAGGTAATGAAAAAATATTACACACGTATTTTTTATTTTGACATATAATAAAACAATACTTAGATCAAAAGAATCAAAGTTTAGGAGTGGGGGCTAAAACGTCACTTCTACGTATAAAATGTGCATAGCAGTGACGTCACGCGACATTTCAAATCAATATAACGTCGAAAGTATTTGTTTCTGTAGAAAAATAAAAAATACGTGTCAAATGATTTAAAATAATCTACCAGACGGATATTAAAATAAAAATTAGGCATCTACCCTATTATGCATAGGTACAGGTAATACGAAAGAGTGCTTCTATACTTTTATCAGATTTTAAATTAAGAACGTAAGTTCTATGGACTATCTGCCACATAAGATTATAGGGCTCTTACGTATAAAAAAACGTTGTGGAACAAGTTCTAAGTCTTTAAAACCTGACATGTTACCTGTGCTCTTGGCGTAGGATATTCCCAATCGTTGACAACTTAGGCGACTTCGTTGGCAATTTTGTTGACGTTTTGTATGGCGTCACAATACTTTTAGTCGTAATCTTAGAAGCAATTTCTTCGCATTGTACAAATACTAAGTACAAAAATTTAGAAGATTTAATAAAACTGTGATATTTTTAAAGATTGTTCCATACTAGAATTTTCTCCTGTGGGAGCTTTTAGAAACGTAAAATTTCGCATTTACATGAGATTCAGACCTAAAAATTTGTGGAACCCGTTACACGTTGCGTGGCGGCCAGTTGCCCGGCCACTGCGCCGTCCGTGCAGTCAAAGATCTATTTGACCGGTTTTTCGAAAAATACCCAAGAACACAAAGTCCGAAGTTGAGTTTGGAGTCCAATGTTGAGGATTTACCTAATACAAAGAATTTATAACATGTGTACCCTATCTGGGAACAAAAAGCCTGGCAAGATATTATTTTTTAAAGGTTCAAAAATAATTAATATATTGTTAAATACTCATGTCCTTCAACTCATTATTTACGCTGTCATAAGTGTAACTGAGAGAAGAAACCTTAGGGTGCGTCCACATCAGGCGAATGTTCCGCGAATGTGCAATTTGCGAGCCGCATGCATTTAAAATTATTTATTTATACGAACTTTGCGTGAGTTTCAACAAAGAGGCGCACTAGACCATTTCCAGAACTGTCCGCGCGCAGCTCGCGAGCTGCTCGCGAACTGCACCAGCACTGCGCCATATGTTCAAAGTGTCGTGAAAGTGTGTACTCACCTTTAGTAGTTAATGGAAGTATGAACAAAATTGTACTAATTTTAGGTACACTCATTTTATATTTATTACATCTCATTCTCTTTATTTCTCTATTTATTGTGTTACATACTCTGATATTAAATTTTACACTTCACAATACATGACATGATTGTAATCAGACAAATAATAATAATAATATTATGGTTGTTATATTGTGACTCATTTTTAATATTAAACTGAATGAGTATGTATATTATATAACTTATTTATTTCACTGCAATTACTTCAAGATTTTATTTTTTTCTTTTTCGTATATCATAGCACTCGTGCTTGGTACATTGATTCATTTGTTATTATATTATATTATAAACATAGATAATTAACTATGTTGTTTTAATTCGAAATTGACACAATTATTTATTAATATTATTAAGTAGTATTCGTTTTCTCAGTTCTTATTACTGATTATTATTATTATTTTTGCGTACCAATTACTGTAATATAAATTTTGACATAACGTTGACGTTATATAATTTACGTTTTATTTTCAGGATTATGGTGAACTTGAAGTAATATTCATATTTTCAAGGTAAAGTTATTACACGGTTGATACCAATTTCCAATATGTTTCAATCAAAAAAGTTAATTGAAGTTGGTTTTATTGGTGTGTTACTTATGTGGTATTTTTATTGTTTTCATAATAACATAACATCACGCCTTTTATCCCCGAAGGGGTAGGTGGAGGTGCACATTACGGCACTTAATGCCAATGTACCATGTAACGGGCACAATTCCAGAGTACAATACGTATTCTGAAATGAGACTACTGCACGACTTAGATTTTTTTTAAAACCCAGTAGTACTTTAGTCGACCCGGGAATCAAACCCGAGACTCCTTGACGGCAGTCGAACTTGCGGCCACTCCGCCAACGAGGCAGTTGTTTTCATTAATATTGTTAGTTTTTAATTGATACCTGTTTCTTGAATGATGGAGGTCGTAGTCTATAGTTTCCAATTTTGATGATTTCGTTTTAGAGTGATAAACGTCATTGGTATGTACTTGCCAGGTGTAATTATATACATTTGTGTCGAGTACTGTTTATCAGTTACGTAAGAATAAGATCTAGATTTTTGACATATCATAAATAGGTTTTCTTAGTTTAGTCTTCATAATATTTGTCCCATTCAAAGTCAGTATCAAAACTAAACTACAAACGTAGTATACTGCCGGCAAGGGGTCTCGGGTTCAATTCCCGGGTCGGGCAAAATATTACTGAGTTTTAAAAAAATCTTAGTAGTAGCACGGAGTCTGGAATTGTGCCCGGTATATGGCAATAGGCTCACCCCCTATTACATGGGACTCATAACATAAATAGTGAAAAAGTGGGTGTTACATTGTACAGTGGCATAATGTGCACCTCTGCCTACCCCTTCGGGGATAAAAAGGCGTGATATTATGTTAATGTAAACTTAGTATAAGGCAATAGTATCTCAAATTTCACAAGTCATGTCCCACGCGGTCTCAAGACTGACATACAACAGCTCTTATGTAGTGACAAATAGTTCTATTTTCTACGTGACACCGAACTTTATGGAAATGTAGACTCTGTGTGCTGCTTTAGAAGGTCCACTTCACAATGTGCTAAAGAAAATCCTGTTGTGATTTCGTTTCGCAGCTTTATTTGCTAGTATTTCGGAGTATCATATTTTAGCTGATCCCAGTGCATTGATCTTCATTTATTTTCAACTAGGAATTTGACAATCGGATTTAGATATATCCTTTCAATTTATTTTTTGCTTTGAAGATAGAATTGTTTAATTCTTTATTTCTTCTTTCTTAAAAAAAAACGTTGCCCCACACTAGGATTATCTCCAGTGTCGTGGGTGCGTTTACAAATATACAAGTTCACATACACATGACACCCAGATTCGGAACAACAATTTGTGGATCACACAAAGTGTTGTTCCGTGCCGGAATCGAACCCGCGACACTTTGCACGGCAGCCGGTTGCCCAGCCACCGCACCAATCGTGCAGTCGAATTAATTACAATATTAAGTTTATGAGTTTATGCGGTATGTAAGAATCGTAGTAATTGGCGTTCCTTAGTCTCTGCCTACCCCCATGGGAGACATGTGGGTCTATAACGCCGTCTCCTTCATCGCTCCACATCGGAGCGTGTTGTTGTTGCTAGGAATAACTGTAATTGAGTCTCTTAATATCTAACTTACGCTACTTACTTATAGGGCGAGGTGTCCAACACACTACAGCCTAAATGCTGATAAGCTACTAAATTTGAAGTTGTACTTAAATATCGTGCTGTCTCCGTCATTTTCCGGAGGTTATAGGCCGGGGTCGTGCGGTCCATGGCCCTCTACGGCGCTCCTGTGTGGGTGCCAAATCTGATGCGGCGGCCTGCTCGGGCGCTGCTCACGTCACTTTCATGGCGATCCGAATTATTCGCGGATACCGCACGATCTCTGGGGAGGCGGCGAACCTCCTTGCCGAATTACCGCCGTGGGATCTGGAGGCGAAGGTGCTCGCGCGCGTGAATCGTCTGCGCTCGGAGGCACGTCGCGTCGCCGGGGGGAAACTCCGCTGCCGCGCCAGATTAGTGCGTGGCGGGAAGAGCTCCGCCACGATCTTATGGCGAAATGGCAGCAACGACTGTCGCAACCGAGGGCTGGGCTAGCTGCCATTGCAGCGGTAAGCCCCTTTTTGAGGAGTGGCTTGAGAGATGCTACGGCTTCCTCACCTATCGCCTGACGCAGGTCCTCATCGGACATAGAAGTTTTGGGAGGTACCTGTGTCTGATGGTGTGGTAGGAAACGCCCGGGTGTAATCACTGCTAGGACCGCCTTGAGGACACGGTGGAACACACTGTAGGGAAATGCCCTGCGTGGGCCGAGCACCGCCGTGTCCTGATTGTGACGTGTTTAGCGACAGCAACCTCTTGCATCCGGCCCTAGTACGAGCCATGATGCGGAGCGAGGGGGACTGAGATGCCGTCTCCTCCTTTAGCGAAGCAGTCATGCTAGTTTAGAAGGAGGCAGGGCGCATGAGGCAGCGAAGCGCTGCCTCCTCATAATCCAGCCGTCACAAAGGACACTCCAGGCGTCGCGGATCGTGGGACGATCTCCGGCCCTCGTAAGCGCGAGCCTGCGGACGACGAGCATGGGTGGTTCACCGCCCGGTCAGAACCAGACCCGAGCGTACGGCGCGTCGCGTTCCGCGCGCGTTCCGAAGAGCTGTCAGACCAATAGGGCTGATGCCGGTACGGAGCCACGGAGAACCTAACGGGTTACCGGGGCTCCGGCTCGAAGTGCAGGAGAAAGAACGGGGTGGTTTTTAGTCAGTAAGAGTCTGACACTTCCTCCCGCCTCACCTAGGCGGGTGAAGTCATTCGATAATATTCACCCTTTTAAAAAAAAATCTTCGTCATTTTGTTGAAGTGTATTGTAAGAATTTGTTGTAGTGACAGAATTATTCTTAAGCGCGACTTAAAATTGAGTAACGTTTGAGGATTTCGACATAACTGTAACAGGCATGGTAATGATCTTAGTTTTATTCTTAAACTAGCTGTTGCCCGCGACTTCGTTCGCATGAAATTGTGATTCACAGCTCCTCCCCCGTAGATGATAGCGTGATAATATGTAGCCTATCTGTTGACCCGACCTGTTAGTAATATTCATGCAAATTTGAAGTAACTTAAAATTAAGTACTTTTGGAGATCATCCCGGACATACATACAGACAAACAGACAAAAACTCTAAAAACCATATTTTTGGCTTTGGTATCGTTTGTAGATCACGGCTCAAGTAGTCTTTTAAAAAAATATTAAATATACAGTTTTAATTTTTCTACGATTTTATTATATGTATTATATGTGTATAGATATATAGATCTCAATTCCTTAAACTTCGAAATTATACCTCACTTATCCTGCCATTTTAATCAAGTTCTCAGAGGTCATTTGTATAATCCCTTCGTACGAGATTACTAACATTAGCATATTTCCATGCATCTCTAATTTCTTGTGAATGTAAATATTCATTTTCCTGTATTTTAAGGTCTTTATTATGACATCCTCTCCGTAGACATATTCGCAGGAAACGTGGACTTTTTTAGAATAAAAGGTAAATTTGTTATATGAACATAATAAGTACATTTAGAGCCTGTGTTATGCTAAATGCTGTAAAAAGGGTTGAAAAGAATTTTTATGAAGTTATTGTGTCAATCTTCCTTTGGCAAATATAGTACATACATTTTTAATATCTTCTAGTTATTATGAGCACCTATCTTTAACAGTGAGCAGTATCTTATAACCTTAATAACAAATTTGCAAGCGTCTTTATAACAAGATTAGGTGTGCAATGAATACGTCATGAATGCACTACAAATATGCGGTTACACGGCGAACACGCCGTAGATCCTCCTCTAATGGGATAGGAGGTAAACGAGCAGGCGGATCGCCTGATAGTAAGCAATCAGCGCCGCTGACGAACACCCGCAACATCAGAGGACTCACTGTAGTGTTCTTATTTCGTCCTCTTCTCAGAGGATTTTTAAGGGGGGAAAATCATCGAATGACTGCTCCCGCCTGGGTGAGGCGGGAAGTAGTGTCAGACTCTTACTGACTAAAAACCACCCCGTTCCTTCTCCTACGCTTCGAGTCCCGGTAACCTGTTAGGTTCTCCGCGATCTTCTCATATTATCTTCTGACTCTGACTTCTCAGAGTAATCTACATCACTTTTCAGTGTCCAGCAGCTGTAGCCAAATGCCATTTAGCGCTTGTCTACTTGTAGAATAGAAAACCAAATTATATGGAATTGACGTAAATTTTGACACTTGTCAGTGTCATCCCCATACATTTTGATTTCTACTCTCTCTGTAGACAAGCGCTAAAGTGGCGTTTGGCTAAAGGCCCTGATATCATTAGAAATAGGACGATTGTCACTAACAATCAACCACTTCTTTTTGTTTTATGCGAACAAAACAAGTACTCACAAATGAAAAATGTAACTTAAATACCAAAAGTTCACAGCAGTGTTTTAAAACCAGTGAATTTATTTGAACAATTTCGTCGCAAAAAATAAA